TATATATATATATACATATATAGGGCTTCAAGTATTCAAGTATAGTTGTACTTTAGAGGGCACATTAACCAATCAGCTTCGTAAAATTCTTGGGAAGCTCAGACACAACTCTTTCCTCCTCACAGCCCCATGGTCATAAAGAATTGCATCCAACCTTAATCCAAGCAGGGTTCCACCTAAATAGTGATTTCTCGCATATTACTAGAGAGAAATGTGTGTTCTCTGGAATGTCTTCTAGTTAAAGAAAAAACTGTACTTAAAGTGACACTAAACTCAGGAGTTGAACCTTAAAAATGCATTCAAGTACCTTAATTACTAACAAAAATGTATCTTATTTATGTATCACTCAGCTGTAGATCCTCAAATTAACTAAGAATTGGTGCTCAGGCCTGTGCTCGGATTAATGGTCTGGTTGGGAATCTTAGGGGTGACCCCCCCATTTTTTGGGGGTGGGATTCCCCCTTAAAATTCCTACCAGATCTTAAGGGCCTGGTATGACTTTTGTGGGGAACCCCACACACTTTTTAAAAAATGTTTTAACTTGCGGTCCCTCCTAACTTTCCTACCAGACCTAAAGGGTTTGGTATGGTTTGGGAGGGGGACCCCACACTGTTTTATTTTTTCTTTCTTTTGTTTACTTTTTTTTATTCATTCTGCTCACTACCTCCGAGGTAGCAATCAGAATAATCGAGTCGAATGCCGCTAACAGAATAGGGGTGAATGGCAGCGAGTCGACTGCTGGGCGCTCGGCTCAGCCGATCCAGATGTTGGATCGGCTGATTTGAACGGGTTCTTCACTTCAGCTCAGCCGAACTGTTTGGCTGAACCGAAGTGAAGTGAAGGAAGCTGAAGGCAGCTGACGTACGACTGTTTTCAGACGTACAGGGCTGAAGTGAATACCTGAATGGCATTTGGCTCCCTTCACTTCGGTTCGGTTATTTACATGGCTGCCTTTGGCAGCTTAGTGAATAACCCCCTTAATTTTCTGAACCGATGTTTCCAGTTCTGCACGTTGAAGCCAGACTGTCCAGCAGCTAGCATTTTTTGGCAATCTGCATAGTTCTCTTGGTACAGATTTCCTGCATAAGCAGAATGCAAATGGAGACATTTAATTTACACAGTAACTGAGCCCCTTTCTAATGTTTATATTCTTCCTGCATTTTGAAGAGCATATGACTCAGACAGGATAGTGTTTCTCCTACCTTCATAATGATACATTTTCAGAAAAAGCACTTATTTGAAATAACTGTTGTGGCTTACCTTTGATGTCTTCCATGTATTGTGCTCTATGCAGAGATCTAGCTCCTTTCTAAAACCATTGATGACTCTAATGCAGCAGGTCCAAGGTAAGTCACAGGTCTATCAAGGCAGTGGTAAATCTGATTAGATGGTATACTGGAACAGAAAGATCAAAGATGAGACTGAAACCTGTATTAGGTGGAGGTAGCAGACTACAGACTGTACAGAGCAGAGCATATCAGATGGTAAGTCATCAGCAATCAAGGAGAGTAGTTATTATACCAGTAGCATTAGAAATGTTCACAATTGTCTGAAAAAAAACTAACTTTAGTGATTTCCTTTTAATCAAAGCAAGATAAGCTAGGGGCATTTCAGGGGTGGAAGATCTCTGCTACTTGATCATCAAGTTTTAGGAACCATAAGGATATTGAGCTTACCAGTGAATACGCTAAAGGGAAAAAAAAAAACAGTTTGCATGGGCCTAACCTTTACAATTTAATAATGGTTTGTTTTGAAGTAAGCATTTATCAGTAGATGTTATGTATGGTTTTCACCTTTAGGTGAACTTGGTACTGAGCGAGGGAAGGTCCCTTGGCTTGCTCATTCGTGGCGGTGCTGAGTACTCCTTGGGGATTTACATCACTGGTGTGGATCAGGCCTCAGAGGCTGAAAGTGCTGGTTTAAAGGTAACACTGCAACTGTCCTGCACACCTGTTTTCTCCTGTATGCATCTTTGCACACATTACTTCCACTGAGAAAAGCAAAGTAATGATGTGCAGTAACTACAAACATAAAATCAGATTTCAGCTTTTAACACTTAAAGTAAGAAGAATAGATAATAGCTGCTTAGCATTTTTTTTTGCTGCTAATTGCACTTTGCACACCACTTTTTAATCCTACAAAGTAACTTATTTATCCTGAGGTAGGATAGTGTCCAGCCAGAAGGACCTCACAGTAGTAAATGTATTCAAGACCTGTCCAGCTGGCAGTGATACATTGTGCTTTATAGGGATCAATAGATCATTATTGTAAGATCCGCATAGACCTTGTGCACTTCAAGGTGAATGCAGTTCAACAAAATGTTCTACCAATGACTAATAAACCACCTATCACTTCAATGCTAATCTCGGGGGATATTCACTAATAGGTTTTTACAGCAAAGAAATGTCAGGCATTTATTTGTGGTAAACTCATGTAAACCTATGCATAGAATAGCAGATGTGGGGGCACACTTGCCTTCTCACCTATCTGAGTACCATGCTGATCAAATGTCTTACAGTTTTTTTTTCCTTTTAAAGTTCATTAGTGTTGTTCAATATATGTGCATATCCTCTTACCATGTTGTCAGCTGAGTTTGTCTCCTTTTGGTACTCAAAGTGTACCTACAGTCTGTTGTGTCTGCCAGTATAGGCACGTATTTTTTCCTATCCCACTGTTGCCTCAGTGCCATTACTAAGACAGCAGACCTTATGTTCTGCCGTGTTAACCAACACCTAGAAGCCTATCACCATGCCAAGTCATTACAAATGTAAGTAATTTGACCAAAGTCTGGTCCCCTATAGACGGGAAGTGAAACTTAGGAGTAAAAAAGTGGGATTTCCTTTACAATGACCACCTGGATACCTCTGCATCCCTCCCATCCAGGACTGTTTTGTCCTTCTGAGTCCTGTGCAAAAGCACAAGATGTATAAAACATATTTGCCCTGTCCGTTAAATAACCATATGCCCTCTGCAGTACTAGTGGCTCATTACTGTCTAATGGTACAGTAGACCATTTAATGCTTGCGGAATTTCAACACTTGCATTCCGAAAATTATGCTTAGCAAAAAATTGGGTTAGCTTTCAGGACTAAATAAATATAAATCCGCATTTGGACTTGTTCAATAGATGGTATGTGGTGACATCATGACCAGAAGACTGTTTATCTCCCAGGATTCTTCCTAAACTATAGACAGTGAGAAAGGGTCATCAAGCCTTGGTGTACATCTATATTACAATCATAGAGAGGAGTGCAATAGAAATTTGGGGTGGGAAGGAGTTGGAGGAAACCCTGATCTTAAGATTATCATAGCAGATCACATAATTTAAAGAAGAACAGGTCCAGCAGTATGGAAATGGAAAATTCTGTAGCAAGAGTTTGACACCCCTTTTTATTACATTAGCAAGGGAAGATTGTGAAGTATGTGAGTGAAATCTGACTACCAATGTTCCCGGGGGACACAAAGAACCATTTCCTTGTTTTTTTCCATCAGCACCCAATCAGCATCCACCCAAACCTGGGAGATGTTAAAAACTGATAATTGATATCGGACAAAACCTTTGTGTCCGATATCAATTAGCACAATATCTAATACTAACATCAATACCAATATTAATACACTGAATTATTATGTTGATCTTTAACCTTCCATTCTTTCCTGACTTTTATTCCAGGTAGGCGATCAGATCCTGGATGTAAATGGCATCAGCTTCCTCTCCATTCCTCATGATGAGGCTGTTAGAATTCTTCGCTCCTCTCGACATCTTATCATGACTGTGAAGGATGTGGGTCGAGTTCCTCATGCTCGCACTACAGTAGATGAGACTCAATGGTTAAGCAGCTCGTACACAGGAGATCCTCACTCATCTACAGGGTGAGTAGTGCTAAACAATAAAAAATAATATTTTATTGATGACCATCAGTGGAAGTTGACACTGTAGTCCTCTCATAGAGACTGCAGGTCAGGGCCTGGGATGTCAACCAATCAGATTCCAGCTGACATTTTACAAACTTAGGTTAACTAGTAGTTAAAACCCATGCAGGCACTTTTCTCTGCTCTTAAAATTTCAATCCCTATGTGTCTTACATAGCTGGCGAGAAAACATTAAGCAATACTCAGTGGCATGACAAGATTGAGCTCAGGGTGTAGGGGAGTTAGATGCCACTTGCAGTAATTTTCTTAAGAGATCTCTGCATTGATAAGCCTGCAGTAAATGCAGGAGACATTTTTTTAACCATATTTTTTTCTGCATGACTGTTCTGTGATAAGTACTTGTGATGGCCAGCTCTGCTTTTAATAAACATGCCCCAAATCTCATAAATTCAAGTTTTCCAAGTGTAGGTCACTTTTTAGGCTGGATGTCAAAACAATGAAGAGAAGCAGAGACAGGACAGGACTGGAGACGCACTTGCTAAGTGTGCCACTGTACCTCATTGATCGATGGTCATATTGAAAGGCGGGTGTCCCTAAAGCACATGGCTTACTGTGAAATATCTTTTCACATCTTCCAGTTTCACATGAAATTGCAGAGCCTCACAAAAAAGTTGGCACTTGAAGACTTTTTTCTGCTAGACACTGAACTTGCAGGACTGAAAAGAGGAGATACCTACTGTATATAACTAGCCAGCTGCTGTCACTGGCTGTGGATCCCACCCTGGTCTGAATGGTGAAGTATTATCACTAGGATTTTCCACCAACATATCTTATTAGAAATGGGCTGGGGAGCAAAT